CCGATTTGTCCTTTGTTCAGATTTCTATCATATTCGTAGAGGTTATGGCTTGGGAGTGGCTTAAACCAAATCGGTTTTAGGCAAAAGAGATGGCAGTCAGTGATCTGAGAGGCTTAGCGAAGTTCTCGAGTCCTGGCAGTATTATTAAATTTAATTTCGAAAAGCCATAACAGTTTCCAAAGTATACAATCATAATAACAAGGACAAAGTTCCTTCTCGGGGGGGATACCCCGTAGCAGTGGCAGACAGGAAGGAAGTCGAGTCGTGCCACATCCATGATGCCAATGGTCGCCGCAGAGATTTTGCAGTTGCATTGCTGACATTCGGTCGCCATTGGGCGGAAACGGGGTCGTTAAATTGGTTCCGCATCCGGTTGGCATTGCTGTCGCCAAAATAACCCATACAGAGACGCAGGAGGACACCCCAGGACTCGGGCGGGGGGAAGTTTACTGCCGTTTGACTGCCAACCGATGACGCGATGCAGCCCCCAGGCCATCAACCAGCCAGCCAGCCATCGAGGAATCCACTTTGCACTTGCTGCACTTCCTTGTGGAAGTGGAAAGCTGCAGGATTAGGATAATTGTGGCCCTGGAGGATGGCAGACCTCCTTGAGACGCTGCGATTGAGAAGTGATTAAGCAAAACGGTAATCGATACCGAAACTTACACTTCAAAGGAAAGAGCTGCGGGGAAAGCCCAACTGACTTTCCTGCCCAAAAAAGTATGCTACGAAAGCAAGTGCCAATGCTCCGGCTGCATAATTAATGCTCCCCCACTCAATCCAATGTAGTTACACGGATGTGTGTCCTCGCAGCCACCTGGATCAACAGAGCGGGAGACTGGAAATTCAATTAACTTCGAATCCAGGATGCGGAAGGGGCGTGCCAAAGCCCGGGAGGCGTCAATGAGCAACCGCAATTGATATAAATTTGAAATTTTGCTGCCTCTTTTATGGACGCCGCCTGCCACTTTTTCCTCCAATAAAAAATTTAATTTCCAGCCTAATGGCTGTCATGCATGTGCGTATGTGTGCTGACTGAGTGTTCCAGTGTCTGTGTCCGTGTGTGCGTCAGTGTGAGAGGTATCCTTGATGGTCCTCCTCGGTGCCGGCTGCACTTAATTTGCTCCTCGAGCTGGCCGTAAAAGGGCCGGCGAACGAAATGAAATGAAAGCGCTTGCAGTGTGTGTAATAAATTTTCCGAGTGCCCTGGGCCGGCGGAAAGTCCTTAACGGTTGTTTAACCGGTTAACCGGTTGCCAGTCTTGGCTTTAAAGAATTTCTGAAATATTTTTCCAACCAATTCCACTTATAAGAGTCTCATTTCATATTTGTGTAAGTCCCTACAAAATTGTGGGTTTTTGCCAATTTCCATACTTTTGCCCCTTCCGATGTTCATAGCTCTTCCAATTTGTGTCCGATCAGGATATAAAGTACCATTTAGTAATCAGCGAACCCAAAAGCAACTTTCCTCGTTTAAAACATTGCTGAAATATCGTTTTAAAATTTTTCGAATTTTTTCCAAGGGATCCCCACAAAATTGTGGGTTTTTGCCAATTTCCATACTTTTGCCCCTTCCGATGTTCATAGCTCTGCCAATTTGTGTCCGATCAGGATATAAAGTACCATTTAGTAATCAGCGAACCCAAAAGCAACTTTCCTCGTTTAAAACATTGCTGAAATATCGTTTTAAAATTTTTCGAATTTTTTCCAAGGGATCCCCTACAAAATTGTGGGTTTTTGCCAATTTCCATACTTTTGCCCCTTCCGATGTTCATAGCTCTTCCAATTTGTGTCCGATCAGGATATAAAGTACCATTTAGTAATCAGCGAACCCAAAAGCAACTTTCCTCATTAAAAACATTGCTCTAACATCGTTTTAAAATTTTTCGAATTTTTTCCAAGGGATCCCCACAAAATTGTGGGTTTTTGCCAATTTCCATACTTTTGCCCCTTCCGATGTTCATAGCTCTGCCAATTTGTGTCCGATCAGGATATAAAGTACCATTTAGTAATCAGCGAACCCAAAAGCAACTTTCCTCATTAAAAACATTGCTCTAACATCGTTTTCAAAATTTTCGAATTTTTTCCAAGGGATCCCCACAAAATTGTGGGTTTTTGCCAATTTCCATACTTTTGCCCCTTCCGATGTTCATAGCTCTTCCAATTTGTGTCCAATCAGGATATAAAGTACCATTTAGTAATCAGCGAACCCAAAAGCAACTTTCCTCATTAAAAACATTGCTCTAACATCGTTTTCAAAATTTTCGAATTTTTTCCAAGGGATCCCCACAAAATTGTGGGTTTTTGCCAATTTCCATACTTTTGCCCCTTCCGATGTTCATAGCTCTTCCAATTTGTGTCCGATCAAGATATAAAGTACCATTTAGTAATCAGCGAACCCAAAAGCAACTTTCCTCATTAAAAACATTGCTCTAACATCGTTTTAAAATTTTTCGAATTTTTTCCAAGGGATCCCCTACAAAATTGTGGGTTTTTGCCAATTTCCATACTTTTGCCCCTTCCGATGTTCATAGCTCTGCCAATTTGTGTCCGATCAGGATATAAAGTACCATTTAGTACCAAGTACCATTTAGTAATCAGCGAACCCAAAAGCAACTTTCCTCATTTACAACATTGCTCTAATATCGTTTTGAAATTTTTCGAAATTTTTCCAAAGGATCCCCTACAAAATTGTGGGTTTTTGCCAATTTCCATACTTTTGCCCCTTCCGATGTTCATAGCTCTGCCAATTTGTGTCCGATCAGGATATAAAGTACCATTTAGTAATCAGCGAACCCAAAAGCAACTTTCCTCATTTAAAACATTGCTGAAATATCGTTTTAAAATTTTTCGAATTTTTTCCAAGGGATCCCCTACAAAATTGTGGGTTTTTGCCAATTTCCATACTTTTGCCCCTTCCGATGTTCATAGCTCTGCCAATTTGTGTCCGATCAGGATATAAAGTACCATTTAGTAATCAGCGAACCCAAAAGCAACTTTCCTCATTAAAAACATTGCTCTAACATCGTTTTCAAAATTTTCGAATTTTTTCCAAGGGATCCCCACAAAATTGTGGGTTTTTGCCAATTTCCATACTTTTGCCCCTTCCGATGTTCATAGCTCTTCCAATTTGTGTCCGATCAGGATATAAAGTACCATTTAGTAATCAGCGAACCCAAAAGCAACTTTCCTCGTTTAAAACATTGCTGAAATATCGTTTTAAAATTTTTCGAATTTTTTCCAAGGGATCCCCACAAAATTGTGGGTTTTTGCCAATTTCCATACTTTTGCCCCTTCCGATGTTCATAGCTCTGCCAATTTGTGTCCGACCAGGATATAAAGTACCATTTTGTAATCAGCGAACCCAAAAGCAACTTTCCTCATTAAAAACATTGCTCTAATATCGTTTTGAAATTTTTCGAATTTTTTCCAAGGGATCCCCTACAAAATTGTGGGATTTTGCCAATTTTCATACTTCCGAATACCAGAGCTCTGCCAATTTGTATCCGATCTGGCAACACGATACCATTCTTTTAAAAACGAACCTTCTGTCGTTTACCCTGATTTAAATTATTGCTTAAAAGGCTTTTTAAATTCAATCTCTAAGCTTGAACAGCAAATACCGAGTATTTTTCAAGTTAGAAACTTTGCCGGCATGTGGGTGTTCTCGTTGGCCACGCCTCCTTGATGTTCAGATATTTTCAGTTCGCTTCCCACTTGCCACTCTGCCCTTTGCATGCTGCACGCAAAAATTCGAGAGCACCACCAACAAAAATTCTGGAAAAAAATGAAAAAATACGGAAAAAGGCGCGCACCCCAAAGCTAAAGTTGGCCAGAAAGAGAACCTCTTCTGCCACTTTTGGCCACAGCTCCGACGCCATGGGCTCCAGCAAACCAGTAAACCAGAAACCGGAGACCCAAGGACCAGAGACCAGAACCAGGACTCACACGCTGGCCGTGGGAGCTGCAGGACATTGGGCTTGCCACCGTTTTGAGCCAGCCATCCACTTACTGGGGGGAAGCGAGGCCCCGTCTTCCGATTAAGGAACTTCGAGGCGTGAGAGGAAAGTTCAGAATAAATAGTTATATTACGTATCCGACGTGTGGCCTTCGACATGTTGGCGAAGGACATCCAACCGCTGAATGATGGTGACGATGGGTACTGCTGGAACTGCCCTCGTGGGTTTCAATTTACAAAATACGCCTCGAGCTGCTTTTCACGCGTCGCGTACTCATCGCACCCGGAAAATCGCAAAGAAAAATGGAAGGAGAAAGGGAGGAAGGAAAAAGGAGAAAAAAGGAAAAGTCTGGCGCCAAAGAAGCGTAGCCAACGGAGACAAAATAAAAATGAAAATCGACAGAAAACACAGAACACTAAAAAAAGAGAAATAATGGAAAGTGGAAGCGAAAGCAAGACAACTGGCCCGTGACAGGACAACGACAGAGCCGTCAGCCATTAAGCCAGGACCTCCATTCCTTATTCCGTATTTCGTATTCCGTATTCAGTGTTTTTGCCCCAAAAAGTAGATCTCCTTGGCCCCAAATAAGTGGCGAATAAAACGCAACGACATTGGTAATTTGTTGAAGGGTTTTCTTTTTATTCATAATGAATTACTTGGTTTACATTTATACTATTTACCGCATTCTCGTACTTCCTGCCGCTTCGCCCGAGTCCTGCCGCATTCGACTTGAAACGGATCCCAAGTACCTACAAATAATTCTCTACATCGAGTACGAGTACTTTTCGCTTTTATTTGCCGTAATTTTCTTAGCATCTGTTTGGGGACCTGCTTTCTCTCAGCTTTCTCTGCTTTCTTTTTCTCCGTTTTTTTTCTATTCGTTAAATTTTTAGCTTAATCTTAAGGGTACTCTGCTCGCTGGCAGTTACGCTTCTCTGCTCTGTCAATTTCTCAAAATCATTCCGAGTAATTTTCTTAAAATTACCAAATGACAAACGACTTTGTGTTCTCCTTCTCCGCTTACACAAATTGTATTTCTCTATTTCCGATCCCCACCAAAAAAAAAAAAAACAACATCTATGTCATATCTTCATAATTTATAGGTAATATGTAATATGCTTAGCGGTTTCTGTTTTGGATTGCCGTCTACTTGGCCTGAAGTCGAGGGAAATTCTAAAGAAAGTGACAAGCTGAAACCTCTTGGTTGCTGGATTCTCAAAAATCTCTAAATGGGCTTTAAATTCTGGCTGGTACTTTCTACTTGCTGGACTTTTTTGTGTGTGAAAGTTTCACCATTTTTCAGGACAGACCAGACCAGGCCAGATGTAACCACACATTTGGCTCTTAGGCAAAGTAGACAGAATTCCAAAACAAGCGCCCCTTGTATACGCTTGTAAACACTTTTTCTTAGTATTTAGTACTTTAGATTTGGCCTTTGCAATACACACACTCGGTGTCTGTTTGGGGTCTCCACCCCGGCTCCCCCCCGGGCGGTATTCTCTGTTTATATAATATTTTTTATTTCTGCTGCCAGGGCTCTGGCTGCTCTTTGACAGACTCCATACGTTTGTTTGTGGCTCCTCGTCGTTGCCATGTCTCTATGGCTCTATGGGTTTACTTTTTTTTCCCCCAGAAGAGTCTACTTCTAGGTTTATGCCGGAGACTTGATGAACTTTTCATGACTTGAATAGAGGATTATATAGCATAGGTTCAAGGTCTTTGTTGAACTATAAAAGAACCAACCTTGGCCTGATATTTCTTTCTTTCAAGTTCGAGCTCTAAGCTCTTTAAAGTTTCTAGTTTCTAAGGAGGTCCAAGGATTCCAATAACTATTTTAATTTTAAAAAGCTAAAAATTCTGCTGATAAAGTCTAAGACGAAAAGGTTTAAATTCAAGATCTCTCTATATAGAATTCATGAACATCTCCCGGCATAAACATAGTAATAGTACATCTTGACGAGCATTCAAGTGTTTGTCTATTCGTGTATTTGTGTGTGCGTGCTTTGCTTGTTTTTATTTTCATCATTTTTCTGTCCATGCCCCGTGCCCCATGCCCCGTGCCCCATGCTCCATGGCCCTTGCCGGTGAGAAATTGACATATTTGGTGCTTGCAACTGGAACCGTCTGCCAACTTGAGTTGAGTTTTCTTTGCGTTTTCTTCTCGCTCTCGTTCTCGTTTTCGTTTCCGTTTCCGCTTGGCGTTGACTAACAGCTTGGATTTCCGGCAACAGCGAGCGGGTTGGAGTTGCACAAACTTTTGGTCGGAATGTGGATATGGGTGGGCGGATGGATGGGTTGGCTGTGATGGGCTGGGGTGGTTTGGTGGTTTGGGCTTGGAATCTTGTGAGGAAATGGCCTGGAATGCGATTTCAGGAGGTTCCGGGTTAGGTAAGCCAGATCAAGGTATGGAGGGAGGACCGGTTGCTTTACCAACTGATTCAATTTACTGGCACCCCGGCATGCAGCCTCGCATTTTCACCGATTTTCCTGATTTTCCTGATTTTTGAAGACCAATTACGTGCCAAGGAGGAGCCTCTGTATCGCTATCTTTATCGGTATCTCTTTATCTTTATCTTTGTGCTCTTTTTTCTATTCTTTTTTTTTTCTTTGTGTTTTGATAAAGTGGGGTTGTGGGGGTGTTAGGGTGTAATGTGTGTGTGTTACGATTACGTTTACGATTACGGTTACTATTGTGGATTCCCGGAGTCAGGGACTCGCGAATACCCGGATTCCTGCTGCTTTTTAGCCCAGGATCTTCTTGAAGTAGCTAACCGTTTCCGGTTTGGTTAGCGAGCGTCGTCGATTTGGCTTGAATGGCGCCTCGGTTTCCTCCAGGAAATTGTGTCTTGTGGTGGCTGTCTCTCCCTGGCTATGTCCTTCTCCGGTTGATCCTTCACCGTCGTCCTCCTTATCCCTCTTCTCGGTAGCCATTTGGTGAGTTGTTGCTGGTGTCACAGTTGTTGTTGCATTCGATTTGATTTCATTAGCTGCGGTTGTTGCTGCTGCTGTTGCTGATGTTGCTGATGGCTTCTCACTGGCAATTACCAATGTTGCAGGTGCTGCAGGTGTTGCTGGCGTTTCTGTCGTGTCTTCAGCTATTTTCACGCCTGTCGTGGCTTTATTGACTGTTGTCGCCTCTTCAGCCAGCGGGGATGTTGTTACTGTTGCTGTTCCTGATGCTACTATGGATGTTGCTGCTGTTGTCACTACGGCTGCTCCTGCTGCTCCTGCTGGTGGTGTGGCTTTTTCAGATGCTGCCGCTGTCAGTCCTCCGGTTGACGTTGCTGTTGATGGCTTCGTTTCCTGCTCTGGCCTTGTTGTTGTGGCTGCTACTGGCGTTGTTGTTGTGGCTGGTGCCGTAGTTGTGGTTGTTCCATGCAAGCCCTTGTGCTCCTGGCCATGCTCGTGCTTCGACGGCGGCACATAGTGCGACTTCACCAGCAGCATTGGCGGAATAAAGTGCGAATTGTCAGCGGACTCCTTGACATGTGTTGCATGTTGCAGCTCGTGCTGCTGCTGTTGCTGTTGCGGCGTCTGCTGTGCGGGATGTATGGGATGTCCGACGCTGCCGCTTCCACTGCCACTGCCGCTGGCGTCCGTGGGCGTGGCTCGGCCGGGAACGTGGGTGGTCGTTGTAATGGCGGCCTTAGTAGTAGTTGTTCCAATTGGAGCAGTGGTGGTTGCCCTGACGGTGGTTGTAGATGTCGATGGCTCCGGCTTCACTGTACTGGTGGTGGCTGCCTCTTGCTCTGTTGTCTCCGGCTCTGACTTCACTGTAGTGGGCTTCACTGTAGTTGTTTCCAGCTCCAGCTTCGTGGTGGTACTCGGCTCCTCTGGCTTCTGTGTTGTTTTCACCTCGGGCTTCGCTGTAGTGGTTGTCGCTTCCTCAGGTTTGGCTGTGGTTGTTGTCGTGGCTGCTGCTGTTGTTGTTGTGGATCTGCTTGTAGTTGTTGTTGGCCTGGTTGTTGTTGCTGGCGCCTGGGAGCTTGTGGTGTCCTGGGCCTTTGGTGTGGTCACCTTCAAAGGGGCAGCCTCGGTGGTGGCCGTTCCCTGGGTCGGGGTGGTCAGAGTCGCCGGCCTAGCAGTGGTAGTAGTTGTTGTTGTTGTTGTTGTGGCTGTGGCCACCTCGACGATGGGCGACATGGTGCGCAGGTCCTGCGGCAGGATCTTCTTCTTGTGGGGCAAGTGCTCGAATATCTCGTTGGAGGCATCGCTGTTGCTGTCGTCTTCGGGAATGCCCGGAGGCAGCTGCTCCTCGCTCAGCGCCGGCTGATCCCCCATCATCATCTCCTCGTCCTGCTGCTGGTCCTTCTCCGGCTGGTGGTGCGACTTGCGCGACTTCTGCTGCTGCTGTTGCTGCTGCTGGTGGTGCTGGTGGCTCTGCAGCTTCTTGGCAAAGTCCGGGGCGATCACCTTCTTGGCGGCCTTCTTCACCGGCTTGGGCACCTGGTCGGGGATCCGATAGAGTCCCGACACGGACACCGTACCGGGCGCGTCCGCCTGCATGAGCTCCCCTGGGGGCGCTACCTCGATGTTGATGGCCATGCCGGACCGGGCTCCGTAGTTGGGCAGCAGGTCGATGTCGTTGTTCTCGTTGTTGTCCGTCCGGATGTTCTTGATGATCTGCAGGGACTTGAAGTGCGAGTTGGTGATGTCGTTGATGCGCTGCGCCTCCAGGCGCTCCTTCGGGCAAATCAGCTGCCGGATGGCGCGCTCGCGGTCCTGTGGATGGAAAAGCAAACAAAACCGAGAGGAGGAAAGGCGGAATCCCATAATTAATACCCATCTGCGGCAAGGACCTTCCCCCAGTCACTTACATCCTTGCCCTTGCAGGTGTGTCTCAGCAAGCCCTCCTCCTGGCAGTTGCGAATCAACTCGATGCTGGCCGTGTCCGCCATGTACTGCATGGTCAGGTTGGGCATGTCCTTGAGAATGCAGGCGTCCGCCCAGCTGGGCACTGAAAAGGAGCGTAGGCAGTCGTGCGGTCAGCTTCGACCCACAGTCCCCCTCCATTGCCCCACAACTCACCTGGCATCTCACACAAAAAGGATGCGGTCTCGGGACCACCGCAGCGTAGGGCGTGCCAGCGATAATCGCGAATGGGATCGATTACGGCGCAGAGGGGGGCGTCCATTAGGGGCAGGGACTCGGCCCAGTATCCTGTGTCGGCTACCAGAGGACGTGAGTTCCTACACCCGCGACGGGCAGGGCGGAAAGGGGGTTTTTAAAGGATGTTGTAAGGGTGTCGAGTAGATGTGTGTCTTGAAGCTTTAATGCTGAGTTCTCGGTCGAGTAGGGTGCTCCCCTCTAATGGTATTATTTCTATTCCTGACCAGGATTACCTCCACAGTCTATATGGTCTTGTACGTGAGTCCCTCCGTTCGTCCGCTTGTCCGTCTCTCACAGTCTGCGTCTTAAAGCTCTTTCGAACGCCCCTCGTTTTCAACAGTGTGTCCTTTTTGTGGGCCATTATTTGCAAACTATCAGTAGTTTATGGCTCCCTCCTGCCAAGGATGTGTGGCCAGACCCTAATGTCCTCTCTCGCAGATGGAATTCCGCCTTGGAGCGGTCAGCCGGCGGATCCATTCCATTCCGGAATTCACATGTCGGCCCCAACAGGACAATTGTGGCCCTCAATCCCTTTCGGCCGTATCCATAGCCCTCCCTCTCACTCTCTCTATAAGTGTGTGTGTGGTCTTATTGTTTTTGGTGTAATGGTATGTAATGGGGTGTATGTGTGTGTGTTAGTGTATCGTTGTTGTTGTTGTACTTACGACCACATAAAACGATCCGAGTTCTGCGGTCGCATGAGACCAATCCAAACGATGTCGTTCACATCCAATTCCCTCAGCAGGTCGCGCGTTGCATCGAATTGAAAACTGTTGTCGACTGTCATCGCACACACATACAAACACACAGGCACACACACATGTGTGTGACCAAAGGACGAAAAAGGATACAAAGAGAAAGAGAGAATGAGTTTAGTTGAAATGAAAACGAGACGACAAATGGTTTTTATTTGTTCTACACAGAGAATACAGAGCTCTTCTATGAAATTCGCCTTGTCTATTGTTTCCTTTTGCCCCACCAGCCCCCCTGGCTTCAGTTCGGCTTCTCGTTTTTTCAGCATCCTTTTTTAGGGATGCTGCCCCCAAGTGACAATACAAATTGTTAACAAAATGCTGTTGCAAATTATTTTTGTTTCCATTTTTTGCCCGGCTCTCGTGTGTCTATTTCTGTTTTCGATTGTAGTTGAGCTTCTGTTTGCTTTGTTTCGAGCTTCGAGTTCATCTAGTCGTCAATGCATGTCCTGTCGTCCTGCCGTCCTGTTTGCCAAGGTTAAAGCTCAATAGTGGATGGCCAACTCTATTCAGGAGCCTCATCCTACCGGAATATGCAACTGGAATTGCTTTCGAGGCTCCTGACTTTTGTCGCTTTTATCTCGATTCGAGGCAGAGATCGCAAGCCATTGGGTCTCGCAAAAGTTTTGAATGGAAAGCGAATATATTGGCAACTTTTTGGGGCTCGAAACTGGGGCGATTGTGATTTAGATGACCCCAGGCTTACAGGCACTGACCCCCTTACCCGAATCCCCTTCCGAATCCGAATCTAAACCATCTACCCGCTGGCACTGCAGCGACCGAATTTTCAGAGGGATTTATTGTGTTATGAGGAGCCAAGGGTGCCCGGCTGGGCGAAAGCAATGCGGTAAACGTGGCGAGAAGAAAGGGAGAATGGATAGAGACTGTGGCAACTGCAGCAGGTCAGAGGTCGGATCCTGTGGCAGAGCCTTTTGGGGTCCGGCCACACAAAAGACTCGACTGTGGCTGCGTCACTTTGCTGTCATTTCATTCATTTGCGAACCACAATGGCCACCTCCCTTTGGCATCTGTCTCTGCCACAACTAGCCCCCCGCCGCCACGGACCTGCCCCGGTTCTCCTGGACTGCAGTGCTTGGCCCTAATCTGGCTGCATTCGTTACTTGGTGACGTCTGCTCATTTGTATTAATGTGGAATTCTAAAAGGCTTTGCCGATTCACTGGCTGTAGCTACACTGAGAAGAAAAATTAGAACAATTCGAATACAAGAAGCATCCGAACTGGGCTCTGGCTGGGGGTGAGGGGACCTTGGGGTACCTGACTTACCTGTCACCAGGTTGGCGTGATGGAACTGGCAGACGGCGTCCGCCTCGAACCAGGATATGCGATCCCTGAAGAATCGGTAGAAGACATTCAGCCCCTCCTGCGGCATTGTCCAGGTGTTGCTGACATTAACCTGTGAATTGCAAAGAAAAATAACGAGTTTCAGTTTCAGGTTTCAGGTTTTGGGTTTCGGGTTGATTTGTATGCGCGCGGTGTGTGGTGCACGGTGCGTATACGTTATGCATTAAGCATACGCCCCGTGGCCCGTAAAGCGTTTACATTTTTAATGCCCAGAGAGGCCTGAGGGATGGGGGAGAGATGGAGAGGTGGCTTCCTGGCAGCGAGTCTACGACATTAAAAATACATACAACGCAACACACGCGCACATTTGCTTAGGAATTCCTCGTAAAGCGGGGGCGGTGGCGTGGCTGTTGATGTAAAATCTGCTTTGAAGCCTGTCTCCATATATTTCATTAGAGCAGGCTCCGCCCAGGGGTGGGCTGGGGATGGGGGCACAGATGCCACAAAGCAGCGCCCCCAACACACACACATTGCGCACCGCCACCCCCCTCCAAAAAATATTCTTTGTGCCGCCGCGTGCTGAGACCGAAAAAACAGCAACCAGGGCACTCGGCTCCTCCATCTTTCATATCCTGGATGGAGGCAGGTCGGAGAAATATGGCAGAGGCCTCCTTGCTCTTCTACATTAACTAATTACGGGCAGGGGCGGCCGAAGGGGGATGGCGGGCCCACTATTATACATAAACACACGGCCCGGGGACCATACACAAATATGTCATGTATACAGAATGGCCAGGAGCAGGGGCAGGAGCAGGAGCTGGAGCTGATGACAAGGATGCCAGAATTTTGTCAGTGAAAGCAAACTTTGTGCCTAAAACTTTCCCAACTGGAATTTGAATTAAAAATTAACGGGCATTGAAGCATCTAGCTTACGCTCTTAATTTTCCAAAAAAAAAAAAGAAAACGCTTTCATTTTTTGAGGGAATCATGTATTCCATTACACCATCCTGCAACCACTTTAATGGCAATTCAGAGAAGAAGCCCCTTTAGTTAACCAAAATATTTGCAGCCATAAATTGTTGGAATTCCGTTGTATTCCACAACTAATTAAATTAATTTCCAAGCTCAGGTCCGCCAGGTCAACTTTCTGATACGAGATACCTCGACGAGGGGAGCGCCGAGGTCATAAATTGAAAAATTTTGGATTCTTCCCGGTCCGGTCGGAGGAAGAAAAAAAAGCCACCAACGTACATGCCGCCTGAATTTTTAATTCAAACAGAGAACAGACGAAGGAAAAACAAAGGAGCAGGGAGGCAGGCATTTCATTAACTTAATTAACATTTAATTGAAAAATTCAAAAAGGCAACTTCTCCTTCGATGGGGAGCCGTCCGAGACTTTCATCTCTTCCGTTTCCGTTTGCCATCCAAGCCTCCCAAGCCTCCCTAGCCTCCCAAGAAGGAAAAAAGAGAAAAATTTCATCGGCATCAAAACAAAAAACGAGATGGCGCCATGGAACCGGATAAAAACAGGCATTTGATGAAGAACGGAATACCTCTATGTAGACACCTGTATTTATTGTGCTGGATAAGTCACTTATCAGTCGATTAACTTTTGTTCCTCCCCGGCCAGGCCCCAATGGGAGCTGGGCGCGGGGCGATTCATCTTTTTATGCCGCTTTTTATGGGCTAACAAATTGCTGGCCCACCAAACACCGAATAGCTGTTTAATTTACCCACTGAAATTGTAGTTATTATGCATACATAAATATATTTATGGCGTATTTACGACTGATTCGTATCTGGACTGGGGGCTGGTGGCTGGTGGGCTGGAGGCTCCAAGCGTGTGGCTTTGGGCAGCGATTTTTGCCGCCCGGCTACAAATTATTCAGTGCCATCGAAGTGGCAGCAAACGCATTAACACATATGCCTCGTCCCGTCCCGGCTCTGTGTCCTGGAAATATTAATTATGCATTGGAAACGGCTGTGGTTGCCATTATTCAGTTATTAACATTCACAATATTTGGAATCAGACGCAGAAAAAGCATATACGCGATGTGTGGGATCCACAAATGGGTCTCAGTATCAGAGGCAACTAAAATTAACGAGTACTACTAGGAGTAGGAGACTAAACTATACGACGAGTATTTGATACCCGATACTATAAGAACCGAGTATGAGTTGTAGATGCCACAATGAACTACCGGCGAGTAAGATTATATGATATCGGAAGAGTACCTAACATGGACGAGTAGAAGATACCCAACGAGAACAAGTGAATGATTCCCGACGAGTAAGAATTCGCTACTTCAAGTACTAGGTATGAATAGTTGCCACAATAACGAGTAACTCTATGTGGATATGATTTCTGAGTATTGAAAGCATCTACCAAGGATGCCTGTAGTCATTATAACAGCTGAGTGTGTGTGTCTTGTGGAAGAAACAAAAGCAAAGGCTGTTGCCTCGCCACAATTGCAGCAGCAACCTGAACAGCAACGAAAGTATCTGCAACACCACCAGCCAAGCCAGAAGAAACATTTGTTGACTTTTTCTCTTTCTTCCCGGGCTCGTCTCTTCTTTTTTTCTGCTCTGTGTGGAAGCTTTTTCTGTTGCTTTTTCGGAGGACGCTGTGCAGCAAGTTGGTGGGCAAACAATTCAGCTGCTGCTGTGGCGCCTCCCGTTGTTGCCACTCTGCCTCTGCTGGATGCCTCCGCTGTTGTTTGTCTGCTGTTTCTCTCTCTCGTTATGTTTTGTTTGTAATTATGATGAAGACATCCTGCGAAGGACATGGTGGAGGGAGGAAACGGGGGGGCCAGACTGCAAATTAAACAAAAGAATAAGTGAAATCACAAAGCGCTGCAAAAGACTTCGCTGGGCCTGTATAATTTTTGTATTTGCATTTCATGAGAGCGTCGGCAAGTAAGTAATTGTAGGACGAACTAGCCAGGACAATGAGCACCCACGGTCCTCGTGGCGGCGCAATTTGCCGGTCTGAGTGCCGGGCCTGCCGTTCCTTCAAAAGTGCTCTGTTTGCACCTTTTAATCTTGCTAAAAATGCCAGCTGCACGCCGCTTGTGGCACATGGCTCTTGTGCCGCGACAAAAGTTACTGCCACACACACAAAGTAATACATACTTACTACAGATGAAGGTGTTCGAGTCAAAAGAGAGCTATAAACTCATAATTTTAGGGCGGAATCGGGGGTGTTCATGCTGTGAGGTATCGGTTAAAAGAGTATTATTTGCATACCTCCAGTCTCCGATCCGAGCCAAATTGTGAATGCATAATGTAAGTTGATTCATCCCTTTTGACGACGCTGGGCGGATGCTCCTCCTCCCTTTCAGGACCAGGACCTCCCTGGACTGAGCTCAAAGGAAAATATTTTCATTTTCCTCTCCTTTATTGGCTTTTTGCCGTTGTATTCGAGCGATTATAATGGGAAAAATAAAGGGGCCGAGGGAGGAGGGTGTTTAGCCCGGGGTGTCAACACAATCAGGGCCCGGAGTGCCAGGAATCTTTGCCGTGCCACTTGCCGCACCCCCTGGCCTCACCTGGCCCGGCACCTTCCACTTGCCACCTTGGCCTGTGCCACCTGGCAGTCGTGCGTGAATCATAAGTATCTTGTCCCCGTACAAGCGTCTATATCCATTTACATACCCCCCCCACCAACCCCGGACTCACAGGACTGGCAGGACCGTGTATGCAGATATATGCTAATGTGGCAGCCACAGAAAGGGGCGCCTTTAAAAATCAAATACGCACGCGGGGCACACAAGCCTGTGCTCGGGTATTAGCAATCCTTTTGATATATTGGTGCCTCTTCTCCCCTTTGATACACACACACACACGCTGCTCATTTTTATTCCAGCTGCCTCCTCTTGCCACCTGAAGTTGCCCCAAAAAATAATAATAATAAGGAGACACACCTGCCTGCCACAGCTGCCACGACATCGGTTAACAAAAGCTGCAAAGTCAAGCGGCTTATTTATGAATTAGCAATGTGATTTTGAGACTTTGGCCTCCCATCCCACCCAGCCTTCCAGTTTTTATTCTTTTTCTTATGTTTTTGATGATTTACACTCCATAAGGCTAACCATTATGCTAATGAAGCGCCGTAGGGGCGGGCCAACGGTGCGTATGAGCGATGAAGGTTTGTGAGGTATACTGCTGGTGCTTAAAATTCAATTCAATCATCCGGCTTGGCAGTAAACTATCTCCTTAAATCGGGCCACTTGCCATGCTATATCCCTCCCGCCCGAGAACACTTCAAAAAAATATGCAATTCCAAAAATATCAGTCAGCATGTGCTGGGAAATAAATGAAATGAGAGCGTGACCCGTCGTCTGGTATAAAAAATATCGCAATGTCACATTGCCACTGCAATGTCCTTGCCAGGGCACAGTCCCCCCAACCCCATCTCTCTAAGCTCTAAGCTCAGAGGCCCTCCTCCCCTTGGGCAACTCCCTCCCATGACATGTAATTGTAACAGACTGCCAAAAACAGCGGCAACAATGCCGTTCTTGCACCACCTTGTCCCACCGAAAACACATTCCTTTTCTTCTCCCTCTTTTTTGTCCTGTTGAACAATGAGCAAGGACACCGAGCAAAGGAGGCGGAGTCGGTGGCGGAGGACACAACAATAACACCCACGGTAGTGGGCTTCCAAAATGGGAAAATGGGAAACGAAGCTGCAGCTGTCAACTGTCGCGCTTGCTTACATGCACGGGGAATTTATTAAAATTGAAGACAACCTGCACTGCACTGGCATTCGGCTCAATTTGTCACTTTGTCAGTCATTCAGGCAGTCATTCAGTCAGTCAGTCAGTCAGTCAGTCAATTCGTCAGGTAGTCAGATAGTCAGCTAGTCTTTGGATAGAATCTCAGGATAATGAAAGACATTTGCATTTAATTCCATTCACACGTAGCCCTGCCATGAAAACCAGAGCAGAATAAAGAGCTGAAAGTGTTAAAAAGTAAATGCATAAGTAGCCGTGACACGAAACATGTGCCAAAGGGGTTAATGGGGCCACCAAGGACATGTGTTGCTGGCCTCCCCCAAGGATAACATCGTAATTTGTTGTGCATCGCCTAATCCTTGCGCTACTTTCGAGCCAA